AAATTGATAATATGAAAAAATATGTTTATTGTACGTTGACTGCTGAATGTGCATGTACAAAAATATGCATATTTTGATTTTTGAATGCATATATAAATTTGACAAAGAATGAATAAATTTAAATTATTTTTCTCAAAAATGAAAGTAGTGACAGAAGGTCAAGAGCCTAATCAAAAAATTGTTATGGATTGTAGGTTATATTCTTTCTATTTTTCATCAAAATAGAAGTCAAACCACGTTTTAATATGATGAAGCATCTATGTATATGAGATTCGAAAGTGGAAGATGCATAACATCATCTATGTACGTTGGAAATGTAAAGCAACATAGTACTCGATTTTTGCCAATGCCAACTTTATTAAAAATTTCAAGAAAAGATACAAGGGACCTCGTCCTTTTAATGTTGTAGCATTTTATGTACAAATTAGAAATCATAATCACTTCCTCTTCCAATAGGAAAATTTAAGGAGTGTTTTAGGGATTTTTCAAAATTTTATATATCTGTTGAATAATTCTAATAATAAACTATTCTTTCTAACCTTTCATATCATTAAAAGTTTGATTTTAGCCGCCCCCTATAGACAACTCAATGCATTTTATTTTATTTTTGTAACTTTATCGATGGTTTGTTGCCATATAGAAAAAGTGGCCGGTTTGGCCGGTGGGTTGACCAATTGCCAAGTACACGATTCTTGATTGTAGAGAAATGAAAACGACATTTGCAAATTAAAAATTAAATTAGATTTTCTCATAAACGTAAGGATTAAATTAACCCTGCTCTATGAATGGTCGAAGTGGAACTTTTATTCACACTTTTCTAACAATCATATTACCACATCGTCCTACTCTTCCTCATGTGCTACGTTAGAACCACCACCTTACACGAGCCAGCCATCTTGAGAGCCGCGAATTAATTTTTTCCGTCATTGCAATTAAGTGGGGCCTACACCTTCATTTATATTTTCACACGCGTTTAGAATATTCATCATGTGCATTTACATGGCTAAGTATGTTATACTAGAAGATCAACATGGATCAATTTTCTTGTACATCTTCATTTTTAAATGATATAGAATTTTCTTCGCTGTCTACATAGTTGTATATGGTACTATACAGGAAGTGGAAACATGGACATGAAGGCCTATCCACAGCCTGTTTATCATG